GTGCATGAGGAGTCTAGCAATTCGTCTCCTCAACCAAAGAAATGATGAAGGGAAATTTGGCAGATGTTGCCTACATCTCTTTATAGGAGATGCAGAAGAGCAGCTGTTACTGTAGGGATTGTAGGGATTTCTTGTGAAAGTCGGTAGCAGATGTCACCACCTGCTTCTGCCTTCTCTATGAAATAGAGGCAAAAGGGAGACTGAAAGCTTATTAAAAAAAGGTAACAACAAAAAGCATAAATTCAAAAGATACATATTTACAGTGAGTAGAGGAACCTCTTATCCCCTTCCCCCTGTCAAACCTGGGATCCAGATGCACAATAAAAGCAAAAAACACTCCCCATTCTCTTTAAATCATGATTTCTTTTCATTTTAATCTTACTACATGAACTTTGACAACATTCAGCCTGCAATCTAATACCTAGCCATTTCCTCCCTGGCTGAAAGAGATCACAGAAATGAGCAGTTGTATCCCTTCCCTCTGGCTATACAGCAATGGTCTGATGACAACTGCTTTACCAGGGTTGGTATCAGACAAACAAAAATTCCCTACTGAATGATCTACACAATGATGTCATGTGTGGAGGCAAAGTATTTATCACTTAGGGAAAAAAAAAAAAAAGGCGCAACAAAAACCAAACAAAACTTCTGTTTCATTGTGTCAGGAAACATGCTGTACATGTTTGTACATCTTGGCAGATAAAGATCAGATGAGGCAAGCAATGAAGTGGTTAACCAAATCAGAAAGTTATCTCAGACATCCAAAGGCACATCTTGTAAACCTGAGAAAACTTCTTACACAGAAACTGAGGAGGAAAAAAGTAAGGGCTTGTCTGGGAAGAAACAAATGACACTGTCAACAAGTAGTTTGATTTCTCACTCAGAAAAGACAGTATTAGTGAGATCCAGAGCCCAACAAAAGAACAGGAATTTTTCCAAGGGTGTAAAAAAGGCTTGGATCGAGCCCCAGCTTTCCTGAAAACTAGACTTGCTAATTGCCTCACTCTTCCACTGTCAAAACCGTCATCTCACTGAACAGAAATACCTTTCCAATATTGCTATAGGGCAGACATTTCCACACTGGCAATACTGGGAGCCACATTCAACCACCACCAGCAACTTGGTGGCCACCACTTCTCCTGTTGGGTATCCCACAATGTTTTCTTGGGGAAAAAAAAGAAAAGATGCAACATCCTGGGAAGTTTTTTAGGTTTTTTTTTGTTTGTTTGTTCATTTTTGGAAACAGAGGCCACCTTGTAGTATACTACCACTGTAGAGAGCATTTGGCTTTTCAGCTATTGTCATATTTAGACAATAAATAAGCTTCAGAAATGGAAGATCCCATTGTCCTTTGGCATTGCCATAAATCAGGAAACACTTGAGCTATACCTGGATAAAATCAATTAACGTAACTGAAGAAATCAGCTTTAGCAAGGTGCACTGCTAATACAGGTCTTTTCCCCAATGCAAGCAAATTACGCTTATCTTACATTACCAGACCATTGCTGGAAGTACTATGCCAGACTCTCAGCTGGCATAAATCAACCTGACCTTATTCACTTCAGTGCAGCTGTGTTGATTTATGTGAGCTGAAAAGCATGTACTGGTCAAAAAGTGACTTTTTCATCTTATAAAACTATAAAAGTGACTAAGAAATTAAAGGCAGTACGTATAATATAAAGAAAAAAAATAGAAAGTACTACAGAAAGGCTCAAAGTGGATGTATATTTTATTAAGATTAGTCTGACATAGCCACTCATTTTACTCCATACGAGATTTTCGATATTCTCTGTTGGTACATACACAAGTATCTCTTGAGTACGGACCCAGGAATTTGTGCAATTTAATAATGCTATACTATTCCCAAATTAAGATATAAGGCTCAGACAGTGGGTTCAACCAACCTAGAATTTATCACCGGTGGTTTTTTTAATGTCACTGTGGCTGTCATAACATGAAACATCAGACTTAAAAGCAAGCTCACACAGCAGACTTAAGTGTTCAGATTTGCAGTATGGTGTCACATCTTAAGAACTGCTCCTGTTACGGTCTTTCTCTTATAGAGCAAGATAAAAGTAGAAAACCAAATGAGTTTCTCAAAGCCAGCACTTCTCTCAAGCCTTAGTAATTACGAGAAATAGGAAACCTCTCGTATTAGACTTAAGCACTCTCTACCCTTATGAACTCTGTGTAGACTTCCCTATTATTTTACAGGCTACATGAGATTAACTACTGGTGCTCCTTTCCAAGTTGGAAGGCTAAGGACAAGTGCTGGTATTCTGAAACAAGAGGTGTATATTCCTAAATTCCTTTCTCAGGGAAGCAGCTCTTGAGATTAGGCAGTTCTCATTTTCACCAGGCTCGTGTATCGCTGCCCCAGCAGCACAATATCTGAACACTGTCTGAAGAGAGATCACGAAGCAAACTTTTTACAATTGTCTGTCCAGTTCAGCCTCAGTGACCAGCTGCCAACAGCCCCTTGGCAGACAACTGCAATTCCTCATCCTTCACCACGAGTACTGGTTCTTCAGTGAATACCAATGCTTCTCTATTTGATTGCAGTCCACAACGCAGGCTGCCAGATACCAAAAATGCATTCTGTTCATCCTCACAGTGTAACATACCTCATGGTCCCCTGTCTACAAGAAACACTAGGATTTGTCTCTTCACAGCCTTTCCCTATAAATACAGTCACTGCAGAAATCTTACAGAAATTTTCACAAGTATGATTAACACTTCAATTAGGGGAGGAAAATATGCACTGTCCACAGGGACAGATCAACTCTGCACTTCAGTAAGTGGCGCTGCCACAACCTCCTGCTCTCCACTGATTCCTGGGCCCTATGTTTTGTCTGGACAAGATGCACTCTGTATCACCATCAATGGGATGTTGTATTCAATCAATTCAGTGTAACACTAAACCAACTGGAATAATGGTATGTAATATTAGAATAAAATATGTATTGATTTATTTAAGTATTCCCAGTCTCTGAAATAGGTAGAATAAAAAAAAAAAAAAGTCAAACCATAAGGCATTTTAAAACTTCCGTGTACATTACCATCTCTGTATTAGGAATTAGAAATCCCAGTTAAATTCTCCTTTCCTTCCAAAGTGCCTTTGCAGTCTTCAAAATCATCAGGAAGGTAACGTATGGCTATTAAGGAACAACCTCAAAACTGCTTTTCTTCCCTTCTCTTCTCTGTACAAATTTTCAGACTTTCTCCCATAAAAACACTAAGCAAATGGCACTGAGCTGTGGTTACAGTTGCTTTCATGGCGTGTACACCCACTAAAGCAAATGGAGCCAACCAAAACCATTTCTAAGAAAAGACTCCCATTTGTGGCATAAGGGGCTTAAAACTGTACCCAGCACATACACACAACCCAAAATACAGCCTGAGGCTTCAAAGCACAGACTTGGGTTCTCCACAGGGACATTAAATGTGTTGAAAAGCGACTTCGGATTGCAAGCTCCACTGCAGCAGTGTCAAAGCTGGAACAAATGTCAGAGGGATCAAAACAGCAACAAGCACTGAAGTTTTCCTCCTTCAGAATGGCAGAAGCAGCACAAACGGTAAATGTGTTCCTATAACTTCCATCTCATCTTGTAGCTCCTTACTGTTACCAGAAATCATGCCAAGCTAATATCTGTCATTTTATATTCCCTCATTCTTTACATTGGTCTGAATGTTTTAATTGTGTAATGATAACTCAGAGCAATTTGGACATCAGTTTACAGTGCACCGTGAATATATCGCAGTGAACTGTTTAAAAGAAAGCAAAGTGTTAGGGCTTCTAAATGAAACAAGCTAGGGAATTTGATTCTCTTTTAATTTTGAAATTGTACTGTCATCTGCTCCAGCAAAGTGATGCGCCAACTTCTACCACCAAGTACGTGAAGTACCACTTACTGTAAATGCTGCCTACCCAGTGAGGTTTTGCAGCTGTGACTCCCAAAGACTGAAATCAATATTTAAATCCTATTGACACCAACCTTTTTTCTTGCCTTTTTTTTTTTTTTTTTTTTTTAAGCAGAGTTGCAATTATGGTCTATTTTATATTTGTAAGTATGATTAAAATTATTATATTTTGTGCCAGGCTATAATTTATATAATTGCATTCCTGTAAAACTTGAATTTATTTTTCATTTAGAAACAGACCACAATAAAAGGCTTCTTCACTGAGAATCCAGTTTTCTGCATTAATTTAAAGTTTAATTTTAGAGCATTTTCTACAGTCACAGTACTTTAAGGGCAGAGGAGAAATGTCATCGTATAAGAGACTTTTAATCAACTGTGGACTCTTACTCAACCTAAACACCAATATTAATTGTTCATAAAGTACTGCAAGAGGAAAAGGGATGATTAAGTGGAATTTAAGCTGCATTGCTATTAAGGATTAAACAGAAAGGCATTTTAAAGCCATGTGTTAAAAGCCATCTTGTCAGAAGGTACGGGCCATAATCCACAAATTCTTCAAAATATACCAGGATGTACTCGTTAGTCTTATGAATTTAGAGGGTCTATTACTTCTGCCTCTTAATTTGACATTTATACGCAAATAAAAATCTTGAGTACAAGTCACACCTGAAGTTGCAACTCTTATGCAGTTGCCCACCTTAAAGTTTAGAAAACCTGTATTTTAATGTGTCACTTTAACATTTTAGCCTTAACTTATTATCAAGAGGGAGAGAAACCCCAGAGATGTTACGACGCTATTGCCGTTTCTCGAGAGCACGGATACACAAAATCAGATTCACAAGCCTCCCTTCAGTGTCAGAGGGCTACAAAGTAGAATACAATGCTTAAAGGGAAAGCTGCTGTTCTTCAGGCTCCAAGACTTCCAGGAGGGCTGCATTGAACTCCGTGACCAGGCTACGAGTCCTGACACCCTCCCTACAGAATTTTGGCAAGTTTAAATGAAACCTGTGGATGCATTGTTTCATTTTTCCCATCAGATGTATGCAAAGTTGGGAACAGTTTCACATGGATTTTCTAACCTCTCCTGGGGCTTTCGTGATTGAAGAGGATGCCATTCACAGCAAAGAGATTGTAGGCCTCTCTGAAGTTCACCACAATCCAGTAGGCATACAGCTTTGCTGCCCCTACAAAAATAATTGGAAAGCATTACATATACCCACTCTGCTTGAACACAGATCAGGCAGACACACATACACATCTCTCTCACACGCAGGGTGAAGTCCACATTTCAACTGCGGAGTGCATTGGAATTTGATTCATTCCTTATATGTGTCACATTTCGTATGGAAAGAATATCCAGCCCAATAAACAGCAGCTGAACAGGAAAATACTCCTTTTCTGCGCAGCCCCTGAACTGGCCAGGAAGCATTAGGGCGCTTTCTCACTTGTTTTCTTATGCACACTCAAGCGTAGCACTTTTTCTTTTACAATATAATTAACACAGCCAGAGCGTGTGAAATATGCCACTGTGGTGACCTCTGCTAACAAAAAAAAATTACTTTGGAGAAATAAAAGCAAAAATCTGGTGCCTTAACACCCAAATTGATTTGAAACTTTATCACCAAAGTCCTCCATGCACATTGCTTTAATAAGTGTTTCAAATTTCATGCGCGTTCATGAAGGAAGAAGTGAGCTCTTGGGAGTTCTTCATTTAGGCAACAAGAACTATGAACCCTTATCACACCAGTGGTATCTCACAACCCTTTGTGAAGGAAGAGCCACCCTTCCCCCCTTCCCCCCCCCCCCCAAGAGCTCTCTACCTCTGAGTTGAATGAACACGGTCTTGTGAAGTGAGATGCTAATTTCCAACCCCCAGGCAATGGCAGCAAATACTTTTTATATAGTAATTCATAAAGGTATGCCTCTCGACATGTCTAGTCACTTTAGCTCTATCGTCATTCTAATCTCACACCCAGATGACTTCAGCATTGAGACATGAGCGTGGTGAACAGACAGACAGACACTACACACACACACCACCAGCGATCCTCACCGTAAGGTGATCTTGGGTAAAAAGGGGTGGTCTCCTTTTGCGGGATTTCTTGCACTTTCCCAAAAAGTTCACTGGTAGAGGCTTGGTAGAACTTCACAGAGTTGATAAGGCCACAGGTCTTAATAGCATCGAGGAGCCGTAAAGTGCCAACCCCATCAACGTCAGCAGTATATTCTGCTAGGTCAAAGGAAATCTTGGGGAGAGAAAGAAATAAAAAACCCATCAATTTTACTAGGGGAACCAGAACATGCATTGATCATGTACAACCAAACAAAATAATACATCATTTGTCACAGACCATCTAGACACTTTTGTACAGAGTAGATGCTCAGTTTACAAAAGTACCCTCAAAGGATTTCTAAGAATAAACAAGTAGTTCCATAAATAGCAGAACCAAGACTGGCGTTCCCTGATGTCTCTCTCAGGATTATTTTCCCATGTGAAGTAAGGGGTAAGCTTCCCCACAGTGGGAGCATTATCAGGCTCTCTCTCATCTCACAGCTGCCAATTTTCACAATATTCACTTGGGCTTAATATCTTTGACACACTTGATTTTGGTTAAAATGGTCCAAAATGTATTTCTTAAAAAATATTGGGTTAGACAGACAGCATGACAGCATAAACATGTCTTAAATAAATTCACCAACTTTAAACAAGGTCCAAAGTTTTGCAATTTAAACACACGTAAAAATGGAGAGAAGACTAGAAGTGTATATCAAGTGAGACTCCCAACCCCACTTGACTAAGGCGTACCAAAGCTGTGGCTTTTGCACAGAGGTTAAGGGTATGATGAAGTGGGAGAGCAAAGGGTGGATGTATCCAAAAGAAACCTGACATCTTCTCCAGCTGACATATCCTTCAAAGTATCATAATAAACTCATGCCAGCTGCTGGGCTCCAGTAGTTTGCAGTTATTTTCATTATGAGCTTGATTGTGGCATAGCCCACAAGACAATGCTTAAATCTAAGCTTCCAGAGTGTTACAAAAACATATTAATTCTATTCCTTGCAGTTACAGAAGAAAAATAAAAACTGGAAAAAGTAATCTGAAGGTCAGTGATGTGTTGTGACCAACCCAATCTGCAGGCAGGAGAGAAAACGCTCAGAGGGGAGCTCGCTCTTCTTGTTTGGTGGGTACAGGCTGGTTGGTTGGATGTGCTGGCCGAGCTCATGGAGTCTGAAGAATTTTTTCCCACCGGCGCCCATCCCAGAGGCACATCCCTCCTACATCCTCTCTCCAACCCAGGGATTTTGTTTCTGTATGCCAGTTTTCAAAAAAATGTTCCCTCTTTATACTGCCAATGTTATAAAAAAGAAAAGGGGAATGGACCTTTAGAGCAACCTCCTCCATCGCCCTGGTGCAAGGCAGAATTACTCTACCTATGTCCCTCCTGACTGATGACTGACTTTCAGGAATTACTCTAGAGTGGTGGCAATGTCACAGTGTCTTTATATCATCTAGGCTAGAGGTTTGTAGAGACACTACCAAACTCAGACAGTACAAATCTGTGATTCCCCCCTTCATTACTCTTCAGTGATGGGGCAAGTACTGATGGAATAGGGGGTAAATGACTATAGCCAGACAAGCTGAGCTATCACAGTGAAATCAGTGGAAAATCCGTCACCAGGTATTTTTTCAGGCTCTCTGCAGATTCGGATAGATAGGCCTGTATTCATTTCTCCTGTTAAGCCACTTTCCCTATTCAGTAATCATGAGAGCTTTAAGGCTTATTTACACAGCAGATGAAATAAAAATAATCAGATTAATTTGAATTTGCACTTACAGCTATTTTATTAAAGGTATGAAATAATCTAAATTGTGTTACTGTGCTCCAAAATAAAAATGTTCTCACACGGTTTTGATCTGAAATAGCTAATGGTATGAATGAAAACAAACTTTACTTTTTTTTTTCTTTAACCAAAAGAAAAAAAAAAAAAGAAACCTGATATTTTGGCTTGTTAACCTGGTATGACCCAGTTGAAATTGAGCACTGATCTACTGAGAAGTGCTGAGCATTTTTTTCTTTTAATCCATTTGGTGCAAAGATGACAGCCACTTAAGGTCTCTCAGCTTGCTGTCAGAGTAACTCTTGGGAAAACATCTTAATGAGTAGGTGATACAGTCAACAATGCACTAATGAACATAAATTAGTATATTTACCATACGGCTAGCACCTTCACATATTCACAGTAATACCCCAGCTCTCTAACGAAAGGCAAAACACCTACTAATTGGAGCAGAACCAGGCATTTACCGACATTAAGGTATTGTTTCCAACAAATAACCTAAAACATCTACTAAAACATCACCCCAAAATGCAAATCTTTGCTTACATATTCTACTACAAAGTAAACGTAAGCACATGTAACTGAGGTGGTCTTAAATCAGAGATCCCAGATTATAAAACTGCTTGACCAGAGCGAGCAATGAGCCTGCGGCAGCAGCACTGGGAATGGCTCTCCCTGGCTGATGAAGAGACCAGTTTCACAAGAGCTGCTTTTCCCTATTGCCTTACGAATGACCTCAATCTTCACCTAGAAAAAACACTCCCTGGGGTGTGAGGTAATTGTGCCTCCACGCTGGCCGGGTCTGAGTGTCCCCGAGCAGAAACCACCAGCTTTGTGCCTGTTTGGTGGTTTTGTAATGCGGACTATTGTTCACCAGGGACAGGACTCAGACCACTAAACTAATTCAATTTTGGAGTGCAGGTTAGACTAGAATGGCATTCGTGAAAATAAAAATGTTTTTATCCACTAAAACCTCCAACACCATAAATGCTAGACTGTTAAGACACCCTGTGCAGTGTAGGGGCAGTAATACGGCAAATGCAGATAAATGCACACTGGATACTAATTTGATTCTAATTAAAATTTAACAATGTAAAAGAGTTTTATAAAATGCTGGATTGATTAAGTAGTTACAAATGAAGCAGGGCAGAGCAGGAAAAGGTGCTCAGCTATTACTACATTATTTCCCTCTCTTTAGACATGTTATTTTGTGAAAGACCAGCAGGAAGACTGGAGTTAAAAAAAAAAAAATTAAAAAAATGCAGGTACATCATTAAGCGGGATGTGCAAGAGAACTGACATGCATGCACAACACAAAAAAAGACCATGGTCTGAGTTACAGAAACCAAACAGGATCATATTCAATAGATGTTACTCATCAAAATAATCTTCCCTGGTGCACTGAACTCAGTGGGACTACCTGAGAGAGTAAAAACTTCATGGAACTGATTGTAAAGGCAGGTGTATGAAGGCTAAAAGTAATCCACACTTTCTGAGAGATTAAACATTTATCCAGTGGAAAAAAAGAGCTTAGGTAGTACCTACAGATGAGAGTTTTCAAACAGCCTCATTTATGACAACTATCTTAAGTGCCTGAATTAGGAAGCTCATCCCCCTGTACGCCAACCAAGACAGTGGTGAGTCAGAGCAGAAAGCCTCATGGAGATGTTCTTGGTCATGCTTTGGAGAAACTATATACACACTAATTTTTTAATTTAGCTACCTAAGATAGATGCTCCATTCCAACCTCAAAAATCCAAACCTATCAGTTACTGTCAAGTGTGTAAAGCAAGCCATGCAACTAACAACTTTTTTTGAAGACAACACCAGGAGATTTTGTAACGACTGGAGTAGGGAAAAGAAGCTTTGCCTGGCAGAAACTTTGAACCTGAAACTTTTCTCAAAGAGTATTGAAGGCATGGATCCAATATTTCTTTGCCCTCTTTGGGCAGACTGTGACAAAGGGAAAGCATGACATACCAACAAACCCAAAATTGTCTACTTGGAATATGTTAGCCTGAGTGACCTTGGCACTCCCTTCCCATGTATAATGGGGACACCGTGCTTTTGCATTTGTCATTGTTGATCTCTGGAGATATTGTGAATGTATATGCTCAAGATGTGTCTGTCTATTCCATTCGATAGTGATAACAGTGTGCCATTAGAATTGGATAGAACGATAAGGATAAACTTAAAACCTTGGTCAAAAGTACTTCAGCTCCAGGTTTTCGGGTCCTGAACACCTTGCAGAATTGCCTCAAAGAATGCTAGAACTGAATCCGACTCCTTACGTACATGGGAATTCTACATACTATCTTCACTGCTGAATTCACATATATAGTACATTTCAAATACATTCTTGGGCAGGGCTTACCCATAGGATGAGAATTTTATTGAGAAAAGCATATTTTCATTAGTTATAACATTCCTGGAATCACAGGACACAGTACAAGTACACTGAACCACATTATGTCTCTTCTTTCACGTTGCTCCAAATATTACAATGAGTTTTGTGAAATGGTTTCTACCTTTTGAATTTGAACTCTTGTTTTCCCACTCCATTTCTTTCTTTCTTTACAATCACCAGATTCAATCTCTACAAGAGATCTAAATTTAATAGAGCAATGTTTTAAATATGATGTTTCCCAACTGATCATTCAAAACCAAGCTTAGCAAGGTCTTTAACAAGATTTAAAAGCTTACTGAAAACTATCTAAATGAAAACATATGGGTCTTACCATCCACAAGAATGTATTCCTATCATGTCTATGAGTACTACATACAAGCCCTGCAGACTTAATAAGACGTGCTTCTGACCAATGTGTTGTCAACAGTGGTGACGTTCTGAAAATAAGTATCAATTTAGCACATGCACAGGTTTGGCTCTGTGAGATATTTCATCTCTGTTTTGTCATTTGGAACAATCTAACAGACGGGCTGCAATCATATTAACTATTAGCTTTCAACCAGAAGCAGCCTGTGCTAGCAGAATATGCTTCAGTGCTCTACCTAAGGAATATAAATAACCATTTGAAATTTCATCTCCTTCTTACAGCCTTCTCAGTTTCAGAAGATGGGATTTCTGGAAAGCTGGTGTTATAAGACAGAAGCTTATGTGAAGCCCCAGGAGAAAATAGGATAATATAAATGTAAATTATTATTCTTTCACTGTAAAAGCAAAGGTGGCTAACCTAACTATAACATTAAAACAAGCATCTTTGCTTTCTTGAAAAAAACTTACAGTAGATTCTTTAGATTTATCCGAGTAGAAGATAGGTATCAGGTCTCTCTAAGCATTAAGAAAGGTTTACACCTGAGAAGCAAATCACAAAGCAGAAAAACTGCTCAGAAATGTTTCAAGTCTCACAAGTTTCACAGCAGTTACTTTTTTGTATTCTTTAAAATC